TTGACAAAATATACTGTCTTGTTGTTCTATTGTCCATGCTAGTGTGTGTTGATGAATAAAAATGTCAGTTATTTTTGGTTGTTGGTCTTTTCTATGTGCTAAGTGAATCAACATTCACAATTGCACCAGTTTAACTGATAAATGCAAAATAAATGTGTTGTGAGATGACAGGCATTAAGTCTTTTTCATAGTTTGTGAAAAGCTATTTGGAGATTTATTTGAAAAAAAAAGTTTTTTTTTTCCATGTGACATTTCCATGGGACATTTTTAGTGATCATAGAAGAGTTTTATTGGAGGCTATGGGAACATGTTTCTTTATATTAATCCATTAAAAAATTATACTTTTAGTGCATTTTTAGAGGAAAAATGAAGTTGCTAAGATGGTTTTACAGAACTTGCTGTATTTTATTGCCTTGATGCTTTGAAAGGCATGTGAATCTACCTCATCTCCGTTCCATCCCAGTACCCTGACAGCATCCTGTCATAGCATGTATCTCACGGTATGTTTGATTCTCACACTAGACTATAAGCCTCTTGGAGATTGGATTGTGTTCTTTGTGGTATCCTTAGTGACTAGCATTGTTGCCTGCGGATGAAGTTAGATGAATACATGATTAAAATTTCTACAAAAAGCATTTTTTTCTATGAACTGATGATCACTGGAAGTGTTCTCTCCATAGTGGAGCTCTCCAAAGCCATTCTTGTGTAAAGTGTTAGAGAGCCTCCATAATAAATTTCAGAAAAAACGCTCTTCCCTTTTTAAAAATTTACCTCCATGGAGGGTCATTGAATCCAAAAATGGTTACTGAGTGTAGGATCAGTTTGGAATATGTTCAACTATAAATAAACAGAAACCTAACAGTGGTTTAAGCAAATAAGGACTTTATTTGTCTCACATAGTAAAATGTCTGGGGTAGGCAGCCCATGACTGATCTGGTGGCTCAGTGATGTCACCATAGACTCTGGCTCCTTCTGTTCTCCCATCCCTCCTTGTAGGTCTTGTGCTCGTGCTTGTCAGTAGGTGCCTGTTGCACCTCTAGGTATCATCTCCACGGTTCAGGCAGGAATGGCAAGAATGGCAAAGGGCTGAGGGGACATGCCAGCAGAATCTGGCCCCTTTAGAAACTTTCCTAGATGATACCTCTGTGACTCGTACTTACATTTCATTTGACAGAAATGGGTCATGGCTATGCCTAGCTGGAAGGGAGCCTGGGAAAATAAGTATTTAGCTTTTCACCATCTGTAGGAAGAAGAGTAAGTAGATTGTAGATCATTTTCAGAAATGAATTTCAGAAACTAGATCTCCCTTTACATTTTGCTTCTTTTTAAAGAACTCTTCTGGATCACTATTAAACTTTAGGGTGAGACTTAGAGGTTCATAAACATCATCTAGTGATTTGCTCCCTTTATTAAAAAGAATGAAATAGAGTAAAATAGAAAAGAATAGAGAATATCAGAGTGTATCTTACTTGGTTAGGGCAAGTATTTTGTGAAACACTGGGTCACAACGTAAGATATTTCTTACCTGTGCATTAAAAAATAATAACAACAAATAAAACATCGAGAGGGTTGCCTGGGTGGCTCAGCTGGTTAAGTGTCTGACTCTTGATTTAAACTCAGGTCATGATCTCAAGATTGTGAGATCAAGCGCCGTATTGGGCTCTATGCTGGGAGTGGAGCCTGCTTAAGATTCTCTCTCTCTTCCTCTTGCCCATTCCCAGCTTGAGCGCATGCATGCATGTACTCTTTCTCTGTCTCTCTCTCTCTCTCTTTCAAAAAAACAAAACAAAGCAAAGCAACCTAGAAAGGCATTGTTCTGGAAAATCATTGATTTTACAAGTATTGCTTTATTTATTACTATCATAAGCAATTTGGAGCATATGGGGAACTTACAATAAAGGAGATAAACCTGTGCATAAATACTTCTAAAAGAGGAAGAAAGCTGTCTGTGCTATGAAAGATACCAATAAAGTGCTATGAAAGGTCACTGGAATTCAATTTATAGTAATTCTAACAGGGGTAGAGGATGTGGTGAGTAGAGGTTTGGAAAGGTCTTTGAAGGGAGTCGCCTTTGAACTGAGACTTGAATATTTTTCGTTTGCTCCTATAATGCACTGGGCATTATACCTGTGTCAGAGCTGATCGTGTTCATTTCAGAACCCTACACACAAGCAAATTTTGTAGAGTTATAAAAATTTTAAGAATACCTTTATTTTGTGGCACCTGGGTGGCTCCGTTTGTTAGGCATCCGACTTCGGCTCAGGTCATGATCTCACGATTCATGAGTTCAAGCCCCACATCGGGCTCTGTGCTCACAGCTCAGAGCCTGGAACCTGCTTCAGATTCTGTGTCTCCCTCTCTGCCGCTCCCCTACTTGCACTCTGTCTTTCTCTCCCTCTCTCCCTCAAAAATAAATAAACATTAAAAAAAAAGTAAAAAGACTTAAAAAAGAATATCTTTATTTCATGATGGACCTATTAATTTTGCCTCTTTCAAAAATGACTGCATTTCCTAAATCCCAGACTATCAGGATGACTTTTGGCTAAGTCACCCTTACCTCCAGGTCTCAGGTAATAATTGGCTGTTCCTATATTATTGGAAAAATTTGATCATACATGGATGTACTCCTCTATTTTTCCAGTTATTATGGAACTATAAAGTTGGTGTTGGTAACAAAACAGAACTTGTTTAAAAATCAAAGTGCCCCTGGACTCATAAAATCTCAGTGTTGCAAGATGCTTCAGATACATATGGTCCAACCTCACCTAACTCATACTGAGGAAATGGAGATTTATAAACAAAGTAATGAAGAATAAGCCAGGAACCCAACCTGGGTCACTGACTTCTTAGTCCATTGCTGTTTTTCACTACCTCCAGTTAGCAATTTTAAGAGGGAAGAGGAAGTAAGGAAGTCAGGAGAATGCTATTCCAGAACTCTCTATTGCTAGATACAAAATTATTTCACACTTTGAAAATTATTTGCTATTAGCATAGTCAGAACTATCAAAGTAAATTGTTTCCTTCCCACTGCTCTGTTCCTCTGGTCAGCATTCTCTGGGTTCTACAGTCATTAGAATTCTGAGGTTACTGCTGAGGATACAGTGACCCATTTTCAGAATCAAAACGATCAGCCAGTCTGTCTCCTTGCCAGTCAGTGTTAGGTGTTTGCTGCTCCTTCTTTTCTTCTGCCTGCACTCTTGAATAATTGCTTTAACCAGCAAGCATGGTCCTCTTCCCTGTGTGGTACAGAAGAAGGTGATAATAAGGTGTACCAGTCCTATCCACTAAGAGATTATAATAAATTTTCTTTCTCATGTGCATATATAGATCATATCTAGTTCCTTGGGTGATTTGACTCCTGCTCTTTGACTCAGGAACATAGCAGTCATATTTTGGTTTCATAATAGCATAAGGGAAAAAGAACTTCTGTAAGAAAAAAATTAAAAAATATTTTATCTAGAGCCTGGACATGGTAAGATAGACTCCTTACACAATCAATATAGGTATTGTCTTCATTTCTATAGGGGTAGACATTCTTGTCTTCATTTAACAGAGTAAGTAATGGGAGATGTAATTGAATCCCAGATCCTTCTAATTCTACTTTGTACTGCACCATGGTGGTCATATAGGATTAGAAAAGGATCTTTGCCTAGTAGATTTCTTGAAAGGACTGGGTATTCACAGGCTTTGGTGTAGCAATTTCAATTCTCATCATCAAGATTGTCAAACCTCTGCTCTATATTTTTTAGCCTCCTTATTGTAAGTAAATGTTATGCAATTAAAAAATATGTGTCAAAAACACTAACTTGAGAAGATGTATGGATCCTCATGTTCATTGCAGCAGCATCATTTATATATATAGTCAAGATAAGGAAATAGCATAAATGTCCATTGATGCATAAACAGATAAAGAAGATGTGGTATATATAAACAATAGAGTATTAATGAACCATAAAAGAAAATGAAATCTTGCCATTTACAACAACATAGATTGGCCTCAAGAGCATTATGCTAATTGCACGAAGTTAGATAGGGAAAGACAAATACTGTAATACTGTATGATCTCTCATATATGGAATCTTAAAAAAATAAAAAGCAAGTTTATAGACACAGAACAGAATGGTGGTGCTGGAGGCAAGCTGTGGGAGGTGGGGTGGAAGAAATGGCTAAACTGGGTTTTTTATTGTTGTTTTTAACATATATTGAATTAAAAGGTTAAAAAAAACCATAAAATTGCTGCACTAGGGGAAAAAATGATGTAAGGTCAAGTCAGCGTGGGAGCTTCTGGGAAAGATTTTACACTGTGATAAAGCAGGGAGCCACATGACTAGAAAATCCTTTTTTTTTTTTTTTTTTTTTTTTTTTTTTTAACCATCGGGCTCTGTGCTCACAGCTCAGAGCCTGGAACCTGGGCTTTTAAGCAAGGATGAGATGCTTGAACTGTGGCAGCCATTTTGTGACCATGAAGAAAGATTTCCCCAAGATGCTGAGGATGGAGGGAAGGAAGCACAGAAAGAGCCTGAGTCCTCAATGATATTGCTGAGCTCTAAACCAGTTCTGAAAACTTAAGACTTTTTGTTATGTACAAAGTGAAATGCACATATTGTTTAAGCCCCTGTTAGTTGGGTAATCTTTTACCTGTGGTCCAAAACATCTTAAATAATACTTTCTTTCTTTTTTTTTTTTTTTTTTTTTTTTGTAATGATACCCTCTGAGAGAGATGTCCATCCCCAGAGGGTAACATTTTAAAATATGTCATCTTTAGAATGGACAAAAGATCAGTTATTTAGAAACCTCTTTAATCTGACATGGTGTATTTACCCCTAAGTGTTCCAAAAGTACAGAATCACTATATTTTATTGCACCCAGAGTCATATGATCTGTGACATATACCAAAGTACAAAATTACTGTATTGGATTGCATTCAGAGTCATATGGGCTGTGACATATGCCAACTTTGCTTTTGCCAGAAATTTAATGCTTGTAATTTCTGTTCACAGACAGTATTGCAGAATGGCACTTTGAGCCTCTTTCTTCCTCATTGGTTGTCCATCATCTTCACCCCTATACCAGGTGGGACTGGTTTATTTGCCTGGTGAGTACAGGATAAAAAAATGATTTTTTTTGAAGTGCCATAGTACATCTTTGGCTTTTTCCAACTGAGTGGATTTTTAATTTTTAAAATTGCTTTTCCATAAAAATGGCTATACTTTGTGAATATTGAAACTATAACTTATTTCTATCTGACTGACAGATTTTCATTATTAATGACAGTGAGACGTATGTAATGCCATTATGATAAGATAATCAACCATAGGCTAATCTTCAACTGAATCACAAGGACTACAGAGTTCATCTGGCCCACACTCTTTATCTTGTACAATCCAGGTTATCCCTTTCCCTGTCCTACATGCTCCTGAGTTCTTTCATTTGTTCATTTGTTTGTTCGTCCATTCATTAATTCATTGATTCATCGAGAATACTTACTGTCACATGCTAAACACTGGATTGGATCCTGAGGATACAGGGATGAATACATTTTTTGACTTCAGCATGCCTATAAATCTTTGGGAAGAAACAGACTCACTTACTGTTAATTATGATACAATTTATTAAGTAGAGTAATGGACCCATAATTATGGAAGCTTTGAGGACAAATTAGTTCATTCTGACTAAACATTTTCATGTTTCAATGGATGATTAGAAAACCTAGGGTTTTTTTTTTTTCATAGATATTTAGAAATGTGTAGAATAGAAAAATATCAGAAGCAGCAGGCTACTTAATATCAACAGGGAAGGAATATAAGAGTGCAATCATTTCTCAATCAAGTTCTTTGTATAGTGACAATTGTATGTACATAATCAGAGAATGAGTCAGTCTATAATGTATAGTGAATTATTTTTTACTCAACAAAATACTCTTTAAGTGGGGCATTCATTGAGAGATGGAAATAGATTTTAGAAACATATGGAGCAATATAGACAGTTATTTATTAAGTTCCTGCCATATGGCCAGAATTGTAGTAAGATTCATCACTGTCACCATTATGGTAGCTAACATTTATTGAGTGCCTTCTCTGTGCCATTCACTGTATGAAGCACTTTACATCCCTCATCTCATTGAATTCTCACAAAAATTGTACATGGTGTGATGGTTGCTATGATACCCTCATTGTACAGATAAGGAAATTGAAGCCTGCAGATTGTGTGACTTACCTATGACTATCCAGCTTCTGAGTGGCAGAGTTAGCACTCTCTCAGAGCCTGTGGGTAGGAGAGCTGACAAGACTGACTCCATCTTTGGCCCTCCATCTTGTTTGTGCCTATGCAACCATCTCCCTCAGGGTAACGTGTTCCAGGCCTTGGAGGTTAATGTATGCCCTGACCAGAATGCAGAAAGGCTTGTTTTAATGTTTCCTAAAGTGGCACACAGAGGTCCTACTTTAAGGTAACTAGTAGAGATGCCTGGCACACCTAAGGTGCCACTTTAGATAATTGCCCTGTGACCTCACCACTGTGCCCCTTGCTCCATAAAACTGTGGGTTAAGGTCTGGACTGGGGGGAGCCTGGGGCAGAGAATGGCTGTGTAGGGCCTGGATCATCCATCTTCTTGATTCCCCCATCAGTTTGTTACCCTGAATAAAACTGAAAATGGTATGGAGTGGCTTCCTTCAGTTTTGTGTCTCAAAGTACCTTCTCATTCTGGAGAATACTTTACTGACCCTCCTCCACCTTCTAACATCATGTTCTTAACTTTTCTGGGTAAAAGAAGTAAAAGGTAGGCATCTGTAGTTTAGGAAAGTTTATGCTTTTTTATCACACGGTTACATTTTAAGGAATGATGCGAAACTGTATACAATCAAGTTCCATCCTCAACTGTTTTTCTTCCCTGTGACATCTTCCTAGCCAATCTCATCTAGCCCCCTGATTCTAATCCCTATCTCTCAAATGGAGACTTCTAAAGCTATATCAGCAAGCCCCACCTTGCTCCAGACTGCTTTTCCAACTTCTGGACGTCTGCCTACAGGTATCCCATAGACATTTCATACACAGTGGATCTAAAGAGAAACTTAGGAGCTGCTCATCTGTGTGTGCTCATTCTGTTCCAGAATTCATTAATGGCTTGCCATCCACGCCCTTCCTCAAATGACAGGCATCCAGCTGTTGCCCTTCCTTTCTTCCACCTTCCTGTAGCTATCTCCACTTTAATCTCTGATTTTCACTGCCACCAGTCATTTATCTGAGGTATTCTGATTTCAAGATTTTGTGGTAAAATTAATTAAGTAGATCTCTTGGAGATGAAACAACTCAGTATGAAGAGACTGCTTGGATATGAAGAAAAAGTCCATGCCAAATGAACTTCCACTGGTTATATATTTAATTTGTTTTAATATTTATTTATATTTGAGAGTGAGAGAGACAGAGTGCGAGAGGCTGAGGGGCAGAGAGAGTGAGACACAGAATTCGAAGCAGGCTCAGGCTCTGAGCTCTCAGCACAGAGCCTGACATGGGGCTTGAACGGTGAACCGTGAGATCATCACCTGAGCTGAAATTGGATGCTTAACCAGCTTAGCCACCCAGGCCCCCCCTATATACTTAATTCTGACATACATGTCAGAATTCTGTCTTAATTTCAAAGCAGTTGAAGTTTGGAACTTACTTTGAGCTATTTCTTCCTGCTTCTGTAGCACTTGGTGTGTTTCTCTGTGATCTCACTGGTCACATTTTCATAAATATTTGTTTTTATTTGTTATTCCATTGAATAGCAGAGACTTTGCTCCTTTGGTTTGACCAGTGAGGCCCGACCACCACCAACAGGCACACTGCTAGACACACAGAAGACATTTACCAATGCTTGCCAGTTCAAGGAATGAGTCTCATAACTTTAAAATTGAAAATTAACCACAAATGGGCTAGGAAAGCATCATTTAATTTTGTAAGAAGTTACCAACTTGTTCTCTACTAATAAGCAGCCAATTAAATAGTTTTAGAAAATCTTAACCTTTTTCACATCAATTCACACAATACAAGTTGTTAAATCTTAGAATACAATTTCTCTGCTTAAAAATCTTGAGTGGCTGCATTATCTACTAATCAAGTATCCTTTTACTTGTGATTAGAAAGCTCCAGTTTATGATTTCATACTGAAGGATTCTAAAATCTCATGTGAAAATAAGATAGATAATATGCCATAGTAACTAGGAGGATGGTTATAAATGAGCCATGATTCAGTAGCATTAATGCCAGCAATTAGCAATTTGGACTTTTTTCCTGTTTCTTTTGTGAAAGGTCATTATCTGTTTGATTAAAGTTGTCCTGCCTGTTCTGAAACACGTTTGACTTCTAAAATATGTGAATATCACAGAATGACAGAGATTTGTTTATTTTTGCATTTGACAACTGGAACCCAGCACTACTCGGCTTTGCTAGTTCTGATACTTATTCTCAAGGTCTTGGGTTTTTTAATACTGCTAAGTGGAGTTAATTGCAGAACAGAAGAGTATCAAAGACAATGATGTACCTAGTGCATTTAACCTGGGACACATCATTTTTTAACACCCCCTCCTCTATACAGCATAATTATTTTTGCTAGTAACCATTTAATATCAGTAGCAATCATTATTTTCTATGTAATAATTATTATATCAGTAAATCATTCTTTCATTGAACAATTATTGTATTCTTTAGTCTTGAAAAAAGTTATAAACAATAATAAATTCTGATTTAAAAGATATTATTCATATTCATTAAAGTTTCTCCTATGTGAAATAAACTCTGCACTTACCAAACCAAAATATTACACATAGTAGATCTAATTGTTTCACTGATTTAAATGCAAATTAAAAACTTCAAATGGCCACATAAAGATAGAAATGAAGTAACTAAAATTCTGTTTCTTCATATTACAATCATCAGACGACTATCATTGTTTTTTTGAATCTGCTCTTTAAGTTCAGGAATATGTGGAATGGTGGGTTTCACGAACTGTGACGCCAGACTGAGCAATTTTGAACCATTATAAACTGACTCTGAAAATTAATCTGTGTAGCTGAAATCTGCTTCCACAGACTATAAAATGGGCATTCTCTAAATTCCATGTGGCATAAATGTATAATAGAGATACACATTTTAAAAATGTTCTAATTTGAAGCTTATATGTATATTATTAAAATTCAGCAGTGACTCCAGTAGCTGGAATTTAGACAAAAGATTTTTTGGGGGGAGGAATATTTGATCGAGATGTTTTGAATTGCCAATGCATGGTGATAATAAAATGCAGAATGAGTTTTAGCCAGTTCATCCATATTTTTGTGTTCTCTACAGACGTCACATCCCCTTATTTTCTATACCTGGAGCAGAGTACTTCCCACTGCCTTGTTCTTGAGATGCTGCTGGTCAATCTCAAGTTATCGTTGTTTTGGTTTTCTACTTATAGTAGAACATGCAGTACACATGCATTATACCTTCTGCCTAGATGGAGCCTGAACTCTGTCTTGGATTCAATAGTCTACCACTGCTTTCCCTTCCAACCTTCATTCCCCATCCTCAGCAGCATCAGTAATTCCACCAAACCCTCACTGTCAGAGAGAGAGGCCAGAGGTCGTTGCTCTTTATGATATTCTAGCTTTATTATATTTCAAAATATCAATACTAGAAACAGTTATTGGTGAATCAGCTTGATTTGCATCTTCCAACCCAGCTTATGATGATGTGACCTTATATTCACAGATGAAAATCAGTGATGTATTGCCAGAAGACAAAATGCGTTTCCAAATAAACTGGTTCACTAAAGGGCAGCTGGGGTGACATCTTGCTGTTCTGCATCTTGGTATCTTTTTTTGTCAATTAATATGAAGGAACATAATGTCTCCTCAAACTGTTATAAGCATCGATTTGTCACAGACAAATGCCACAACCATTAAATTTTAGGAAATCTGGAATGCTATTAAAGTGTTTCATAGCTATCAAAGTAAGGCAGTGTTTATATGAGATTTTCTATGGCAGTAGATGGGAGTCAGATTTCCTTTTTAAATTTTTTTTTCAACCTTTATTTATTTTTGGGACAGAGAGAGACAGAGCATGAACGGGGGAGGG